GGTACAGAAACAGAGCAGGAGGTACAGAACATAGCAGGAGGTACAGACAGAGCAGGAGGTACAGAACAGCAGGGAGACATAACATAGTAGAGGTACATAACAAGCAGGAGGTACAGAACAGAGTAGGAGGTACGAACAAGCATGAGGTACAGAACAGATAGGTGTACAGAACAGAGCAGGAGGTACAGAACAGAGCAGGAGGTACAGAACAGAGCAGGAGGTACAGAACAGAGCAGGAGGTACAGAACAGAGGAGGTACAGAACGGAGTAGGAGGTACAGAACATCTTTAGAGCAGGAGGTACAGAACAGAGCAGGAGGTACAGAACAGAGTAGGAGGTACAGAACAGAGCAGGAGGTACAGAACGGAGTAGGAGGTACAGAACGGAGCAGGAGTTACAGAACAGAGCAGGAGTTACAGAACAGAGCAGGAGGTACAGAACAGAGTAGGAGGTACAGAACAGAGTAGGAGGTACAGAACAGAGTAGGAGGTACAGAACAGAGCAGGAGGTACAGACAGCGGCAGGAGGTACGGGGTACAGAACAGAGCAGGAGGTACAGAAACAGAAGCTAGGAGGTACAGAACAGAGTAGGAGGTACCAGAACAGAGCAGGAGGTACAGAACAGAGCACGGAGGTACAGAAGCAGAGCAGGAGGACAGAACGGAGTAGGAGGTACAGAACGGAGCAGGAGTTACAGAACGGAGCAGGAGTTACAGAACAGAGCAGGAGGTACAGAACAGAGTAGGAGAGGTACAGAACATCTTTAGAGCAGGAGGTACAGAACATCTTTAGAGCAGGAGGAACGGAGTAGGAGGTACAGAACAGAGCAGGAGGTACAGAACATCTTTAGAGCAGGAGGAACGGAGTAGGAGGTACAGAACAGAGCAGGAGGTACAGAACATCTTTAGAGCAGGAGGAACGGAGTAGGAGGTACAGAACAGAGCAGGAGGTACAGAACATCTTTAGAGCAGGAGGAACGGAGTAGGAGGTACAGAACAGAGCAGGAGGTACAGAACAGAGCAGGAGGTACAGAACAGAGTAGGAGGTACAGAACATCTTTAGAGCAGGAGGAACGGAGTAGGAGGTACAGAACAGAGCAGGAGGTACAGAACATCTTTAGAGCAGGAGGAACGGAGTAGGAGGTACAGAACAGAGCAGGAGGTACAGAACAGAGCAGGAGGTACAGAACATCTTTAGAGCAGGAGGTACAGAACAGAGTAGGAGGTACAGAACAGAGTAGGAGGTACAGAACAGAGTAGGAGGTACAGAACAGAGTAGGAGGTACAGAACAGAGTAGGAGGTACAGAACAGAGTAGGAGGTACAGAACAGAGCAGGAGGTACAGAACAGAGTAGGAGGTACAGCACTGTTTCAGTTACCTGAGAGAAACACTCCATGGATCCAACCAGAAAAATGACGTCTTTGACGAGGTCAGAGACTCTCATCCTGAACTCTCCAAAATCATCCGTATCCTCCGGGATCCCCTCCTGTTGGGTCAGAGTTACACAACCAGAGAATTCACAATTACCCACAACCAAGGAACAGAACCAAAACGACTGAAGTGTCTAATCCAGACTAAAGACCGTTTCTCTTGACCCTACGCATGGTTCTTAAACCGGAAGTGGAGGATCAGAGGTAGTTCTGATGGACTCACGTGGTCTGGGTCCAGCTGACAGTGTCGGGCCAAACAGTGCAGAAGTCGCTGGATGTACGGTCTGAAGATGGTGTGAAGAGCGGCATCGTTTATTTTATACAGATGTTCTCCGAGTCGGTACCAGAAGTTAAAGGAGATCTCCACCACCTGTATCAGAACAGAGACCCAAATGTAAAAACGAAGGATAGAACTGAGAATGTAATGACATTTGAACGCACCGTGAAACTGTGATTTTATTGGTGTATTTGTACCTCGTATTGCGGGTGTCCTGCACAGATCAGCAGCAGCTCCAGGGTCCGCAGGTCTCCCATCCCCTGGCCCGGACTCCGGACTGTGGTCTCCAGGAAGGTCTCGCAGAGCTCGGTGAAGATCCGGCAGTAGTTCAGGACTCTGAAGAAAGAGGTCAGAGTGAGTGGGGCTGATGGGGCTGGTTCTAAGCACAATCAGAATCAGTTTCCAGTTGGTCCTCACTTGTCCAGGTCTTCCCGAGCCACCGCCATGTGGTACGCCGTCTCCAGCGTCAGTACACCCTGGAAGAGCTGCAGGGCCAGACCCATGTTGGTGTCAACATTTTCGATGGCGTACAGCGCCGAGCAGACGCAGTCAGACGCCGCCTCGTGGAGGTTTGTGGAGGTTTCATCCCTCTGCTGTGAAACACAGAAGCAACATGTCCGTTAGAGACAGGACCAACGGACCCATCAGGAGCTTTATCTTCTGAATCCACCACAGCCTTTCTGTATGTAAACGTCTTTAATGGACATCCAACAGGAAGCACACGTTTCCAGGGGGTTCAGAGATTAGGGTTATCAGTGTTACTCACCAGGACTTGGAAGAGGACCATGAGCAGCTGGTTCCCGGCCATGAAATTGCTGTCCAGGACTCCCAGGTTGAACCAGCTCCCCAGACAGCGAAACACTTTAATCAGCATCTTCTCCTCCGTGCCCGCCTTCTCCACACAGGAAGTCTGAAACAAACCCAGCAGGGGGGTTAGCGCGAGTCTGACACTATATTTAAACAAAGTATATATATATATATATATTACTGACCAGCAGCGTGACCACGGTGCTGGAGTAGTACGCCAGGTCTTCGATGATTTCCGTCCTCCGGTTGGCTCCGATCCTCAGAGAGCGGCTGTGGACCTCCTCCGGCAGAACGGTGAGGATCTCTATGAGGAAGGGCATCGAGCTGATGTCATTGTTGTACCTGGGAGGGGGGGGGGATACGGACAGGTGAGTCAGGACACGCCTTCTTACAGGTCAACATTAGTGCAGGTGAAGTTTGTGTTATCTTTGTGTTATCTTTCTGCTGTGAAGTCGTGTGAATTCTTACTTTTCTATGAGTGTGTGAACACATCCCTTCCAGGAGGCCATCTGGAGAGCCAGATCTGCGATAGCTAGAGCCAGCTGAGGAATAGCAGAATAAAGACATCAGGAAAGAGGTTCAGAGACACTTTGATTAACTGGATAAAGACATCAGGAAAGAGGTTCAGAGACACTTTGATTAACTGGATAAAGACATCAGGAAAGAGGTTCAGAGACACTTTGATTAACTGGATAAAGACATCAGGAAAGAGGTCCAGAGACACTTTGATTAACTGGATAAAGACATCAGGAAAGAGGTCCAGAGACACTTTGATTAACTGGATAAAGACATCAGGAAAGAGGTTCAGAGACACTTTGATTAACTGGATAAAGACATCAGGAAAGAGGTCCAGAGACACTTTGATTAACTGGATAAAGACATCAGGAAAGAGGTTCAGAGACACTTTGACCTGTAGAGGAACTAGTTATCTGTTACCTGTAGAGGAACTAGTTATATGTTACCTGTAGAGGAACTAGTTATCTGTTACTTGTAGAGGAACTAGTTATCTGTTACCTGTAGAGGAACTAGTTATCTGTTACCTGTAGAGGAACTAGTTATCTGTTACCTGTAGAGGAACTAGTTATCTGTTACCTGTAGAGGAACTAGTTATCTGTTACCTGTAGAGGAACTAGTTATCTGTTACCTGTAGAGGAACTAGTTATCTGTTACCTGTAGAGGAACTAGTTATCTGTTACCTGTAGAGGAACTAGTTATCTGTTACCTGTAGAGGAACTAGTTATCTGTTACTTGTAGAGGAACTAGTTATCTGTTACCTGTAGAGGAACTAGTTATCTGTTACCTGTAGAGGAACTAGTTATCTGTTACTTGTAGAGGAACTAGTTATCTGTTACCTGTAGAGGAACTAGTTATCTGTTACCTGTAGAGGAACTAGTTATCTGTTACCTGTAGAGGGACTAGTTATCTGTTACCTGTAGAGGAACTAGTTATCTTTACCTGTAGAGGAACTAGTTATCTTTACCTGTAGAGGAACTAGTTATCTGTTACTTGTAGAGGAACTAGTTATCTGTTACCTGTAGAGGAACTAGTTATCTTTACCTGTAGAGGAACTAGTTATCTTTACCTGTAGAGGAACTAGTTATCTGTTACCTGTAGAGGGACTAGTTATCTGTTACCTGTAGAGGAACTAGTTATCTTTACCTGTAGAGGAACTAGTTATCTGTTACCTGTAGAGGAACTAGTTATATGTTACTTGTAGAGGAACTAGTTATCTGTTACCTGTAGAGGAACTAGTTATCTTTACCTGTAGAGGAACTAGTTATCTTTACCTGTAGAGGAACTAGTTATCTTTACCTGTAGAGGAACTAGTTATCTTTACCTGTAGAGGAACTAGTTATCTGTTACCTGTAGAGGAACTAGTTATCTTTACCTGTAGAGGAACTAGTTATCTTTACCTGTAGAGGAACTAGTTATCTGTTACTTGTAGAGGAACTAGTTATCTGTTACCTGTAGAGGAACTAGTTATCTTTACCTGTAGAGGAACTAGTTATCTGTTACCTGTAGAGGAACTAGTTATATGTTACTTGTAGAGGAACTAGTTATCTGTTACCTGTAGAGGAACTAGTTATCTTTACCTGTAGAGGAACTAGTTATCTTTACCTGTAGAGGAACTAGTTATCTTTACCTGTAGAGGAACTAGTTATCTTTACCTGTAGAGGAACTAGTTATCTGTTACCTGTAGAGGAACTAGTTATCTTTACCTGTAGAGGAACTAGTTATCTGTTACCTGTAGAGGAACTAGTTATCTTCTGTTGAACTATTCTGTACTGTAGAGGAACTAGTTATCTTTACCTGTAGACAGTTATCTGTTCTTGTGAGGAACTAGTTATCTGTTACCTGTAGAGGAACTAGTTATTCTGTTACTTGTAGAGGAACTAGTTATCTGTTACCTGTAGAGGAACTAGTTTATCTTTACCTGTAGAGGAACTAGTTATCTTGACCTGTAGAGGAACTAGTTATCTTGACCTGTAGAGGAACTAGTTATCTGTTACCTGTAGAGGAACTAGTTATCTGTTACCTGTAGAGGAACTAGTTATCTTTACCTGTAGAGGAACTAGTTATCTGTTACCTGTAGAGGAACTAGTTATCTTTTACCTGTAGAGGAACTAGTTATCTGTTACCTGTAGAGGAACTAGTTATCTGTTACCTGTAGAGGAACTAGTTATCTGTTACCTGTAGAGGAACTAGTTATCTGTTACCTGTAGAGGAACTAGTTATCTGTTACTTGTAGAGGAACTAGTTATCTGTTACTTGTAGAGGAACTAGTTATCTGTTACCTGTAGAGGAACTAGTTATCTTTACCTGTAGAGGCAACCTAGTTTATCTGTTACCTGTAGAGAACTAGTTATCTGTTAACCTTAGAGGAACTAGTTATCGTTACCTGTAGAGGCAACTAGTTATCTTGAACCTGTAAGAGGAACTAGTTATCTGTTACCTGTAGAGGAACTAGTTTAGCTTTACCGGTAGAGGAAGCTAGTTATCTGTTACGTGGAGAGGAACTAGTTGATCTGTTACCTGTAGAGTAAACTAGGATTATCTGTTACCTGTTAGAGGAACTAGTTATCTGTTAACCTGTAGAAGGAACTAGTTATCTTACCTGTAAGGAAGCAAAAAAAAAAAAAAAAGTATCTGTTAAAAAAAAAAAAAGCCTGTAGAGGAAAAAAAAAAAAATAGTTATCTGTTACCTGTAGAGGAACTAGTTATCTGTTAACCTGGAGAGGAACTAGTTATCGTTACCTGTCGAGGAACTAGTTATCTGTTACCTGTAGAGGAACTAGTTATCTGTTACCTGTAGAGGAACTAGTTATCTTTTCCCTGTAGAGGAACTAGTTATCTTTACCTGTAGAGGAACTAGTTATCTGTTACCTGGAGAGGACGAGTTATCGTTACCTGTAGAGGAACTAGTTATCTGTATACCTGTAGAAGGAACTAGTTAATCTGTTAACCTGTAAGAGGAACAGTTATCTGTGTACCATGTAGAGGAACTAGTTATCTGTTACCTTGTAGAGGAACTAGTTATCTGTTACGCATGTAAGAGGAACTAGGTTATCTTTACCTGTAGAGGGAACTAGTTATCGTTACCATGTAGAGGAACTAGTTATCTGTTAACCTGTAGAGGAACTAGGTTATATGTTACCTGTAGAGGAACTAGTTATCTGTTACCTGTAGAGGAACTAAGTATCTGTTACCTGTAGAGGGACAACTAGTTATCTGTTACCCTGTAGCAGGAACTAGGTATCTAGTTACCTTGTAGTAGAACTGTTACTGTTACCTGGTAGAGGAACTAGTTTTATCTTTACCATGTAGAAGGGAAAGCTAGTTATCATGTTACCCTGTTAGAGGGAACTAGTTATCTGTTTACCATGTAGAGGAACTATTTATCTGTTTACTAGTAGACAGGAACTAGTTATCTGTTACCTGTAGAGGAACTAGTTATATGTTACCTGTAGAGGAACTAGTTATCTGTTACTTGTAGAGGAACTAGTTATCTTTACCTGTAGAGGAACTAGTTATCTTTTACCAGTAGAGGAACTAGTTATCTGTTACCTGTAGAGGAACTAGTTATCTGTTACCTGTAGAGGAACTAGTTATCTGTTACTTGTAGAGGAACTAGTTATCTGTTACCTGTAGAGGAACTAGTTATATGTTACCTGTAGAGGAACTAGTTATCTGTTACTTGTAGAGGAACTAGTTATCTTTACCTGTAGAGGAACTAGTTATCTTTACCTGTAGAGGAACTAGTTATCTGTTACCTGTAGAGGAACTAGTTATCTGTTACTTGTAGAGGAACTAGTTATCTTTACCTGTAGAGGCACTAGTTATCTGTTACCTGTAGAGGAACTAGTTATCTTTACCTGTAGAGGAACTAGTTATCTGTTACTTGTAGAGGAACTAGTTATCTTTACCTGTAGAGGAACTAGTTATCTGTTACTTGTAGAGGAACTAGTTATCTGTTACCTGTAGAGGAACTAGTTATCTGTTACCTGTAGAGGAACTAGTTATCTTTACCAGTAGAGGAACTAGTTATCTGTTACCTGTAGAGGAACTAGTTATCTTTACCTGTAGAGGCACTAGTTATCTGTTACCTGTAGAGGAACTAGTTATCTTTACCTGTAGAGGAACTAGTTATCTTGACCTGTAGAGGGACTAGTTATCTTTACCTGTAGAGGAACTAGTTATCTGTTACTTGTAGAGGAACTAGTTATCTTTACCTGTAGAGGAACTAGTTATCTGTTACCTGTAGAGGAACTAGTTATCTGTTACCTGTAGAGGAACTAGTTATCTGTTACTTGTAGAGGAACTAGTTATCTGTTACCTGTAGAGGAACTAGTTATCTGTTACCTGTAGAGGAACTAGTTATCTGTTACCTGGAGAGGAACTAGTTATCTTTACCTGTAGAGGAACTAGTTATATGTTACCTGTAGAGGAACTAGTTATCTGTTACCTGTAGAGGAACTAGTTATCTTTACCAGTAGAGGAACTAGTTATCTGTTACCTGTAGAGGAACTAGTTATCTTTACCAGTAGAGGAACTAGTTATCTGTTACCTGTAGAGGAACTAGTTATCTTTACCAGTAGAGGAACTAGTTATCTGTTACCTGTAGAGGAACTAGTTATATGTTACCTGTAGAGGAACTAGTTATCTTTACTTGTAGAGGAACTAGTTATCTGTTACCTGTAGAGGGACTAGTTATCTGTTACCTGTAGAGGAACTAGTTATCTGTTACCTGTAGAGGAACTAGTTATCTGTTACCTGTAGAGGAACTAGTTATCTTTACCTGTAGAGGAACTAGTTATCTGTTACCTGTAGAGGGACTAGTTATCTGTTACCAGTAGAGGAACTAGTTATCTGTTACCAGTAGAGGAACTAGTTATCTGTTACTTGTAGAGGAACTAGTTATCTGTTACTTGTAGAGGAACTAGTTATCTTTACCTGTAGAGGAACTAGTTATCTGTTACTTGTAGAGGAACTAGTTATCTTTACCTGTAGAGGAACTAGTTATCTGTTACCTGTAGAGGAACTAGTTATCTGTTACCTGTAGAGGAACTAGTTATCTGTTACCTGTAGAGGAACTAGTTATCTGTTACCTGTAGAGGAACTAGTTATCTGTTACCTGTAGAGGAACTAGTTATCTGTTACCTGTAGAGGAACTAGTTATCTTTACCTGTAGAGGAACTAGTTATCTGTTACCTGTAGAGGAACTAGTTATCTGTTACCTGTAGAGGAACTAGTTATCTGTTACCTGTAGAGGAACTAGTTATCTTGACCTGTAGAGGAACTAGTTATCTTGACCTGTAGAGGGACTAGTTATCTGTTACCTGTAGAGGAACTAGTTATCTTGACCTGTAGAGGAACTAGTTATCTTGACCTGTAGAGGAACTAGTTATCTTGACCTGTAGAGGAACTAGTTATCTGTTACCTGTAGAGGAACTAGTTATCTTGACCTGTAGAGGGACTAGTTATCTTTACCTGTAGAGGAACTAGTTATCTTGACCTGTAGAGGGACTAGTTATCTTGACCTGTAGAGGGACTAGTTATCTTGACCTGTAGAGGGACTACTTATCTTGACCTGTAGAGGGACTAGTTATCTTTACCTGTAGAGGAACTAGTTATCTTGACCTGTAGAGGAACTAGTTATCTTGACCTGTAAAGGAACTAGTTATCTTGACCTGTAGAGGGACTAGTTATCTTTACCTGTAGAGGAACTAGTTATCTTGACCTGTAGAGGAACTAGTTATCTTGACCTGTAGAGGAACTAGTTATCTTGACCTGTAGAGGAACTAGTTATCTGTTACCTGTAGAGGAACTAGTTATCTGTTACCTGTAGAGGAACTAGTTATCTTTACCTGTAGAGGAACTAGTTATCTGTTACCTGTAGAGGAACTAGTTATCTTGACCTGTAGAGGAACTAGTTATCTTGACCTGTAGAGGAACTAGTTATCTGTTACCTGTAGAGGAACTAGTTATCTGTAGAGGAACTAGTTATCTGTTACCTGTAGAGGAACTAGTTATCTGTTACCTGTAGAGGAACTAGTTATCTGTTACCTGTAGAGGAACTAGTTATCTGTTACCTGTAGAGGAACTAGTTATCTGTTACCTGTAGAGGAACTAGTTATCTTGACCTGTAGAGGAACTAGTTATCTGTTACCTGTAGAGGAACTAGTTATCTGTAGAGGAACTAGTTATCTGTTACCTGTAGAGGAACTAGTTATCTGTTACCTGTAGAGGAACTAGTTATCTGTTACCTGTAGAGGAACTAGTTATCTGTTACCTGTAGAGGAACTAGTTATCTGTTACCTGTAGAGGAACTAGTTATCTTTACCTGTAGAGGAACTAGTTATCTGTTACCTGTAGAGGAACTAGTTATCTTGACCTGTAGAGGAACTAGTTATCTGTTACCTTTAGAGGAACTAGTTATCTGTTACCTGTAGAGGAACTAGTTATCTGTTACCTGTAGAGGAACTAGTTATCTTGACCAGTAGAGGAACTAGTTATCTGTTACCAGTAGAGGAACTAGTTATCTGTTACCTGTAGAGGAACTAGTTATCTGTTACCAGTAGAGGAACTAGTTATCTGTTACCTGTAGAGGAACTAGTTATCTTTACCTGTAGAGGAACTAGTTATCTTGACCTGTAGAGGAACTAGTTATCTTGACCTGTAGAGGAACTAGTTATCTGTTACCTGTAGAGGAACTAGTTATCTTGACCTGTAGAGGAACTAGTTATCTGTTACCTGTAGAGGAACTAGTTATCTTTACCTGTAGAGGAACTAGTTATCTTGACCTGTAGAGGAACTAGTTATCTTGACATGTAGAGGAACTAGTTATCTTGACCTGTAGAGGAACTAGTTATCTTTACCTGTAGAGGAACTAGTTATCTTGACCAGTAGAGGAACTAGTTATCTGTTACCTGTAGAGGAACTAGTTATCTGTTACCTGTGTGACGATGATGGGCGACAGGTCTTTGAGGTTCTGGATGTGGGTCAGCAGAGAGTCTCGCAGTGCATTGTGGGTCTCGGGGGGAAGCTCGTAGAAGGACGTCTGGATCTTCATCTTCATGGTCTGAGCAGCGAAGTAACAAGACTCCACGTCCTGCTTCAGCTGCAGCAACTGGTCCGCGATCTCCCAGGCGTACATCTGCGGGACAGGAAGTGATGTCATCAACACAGCAGCTTTTGTCTCTGCACCATAAGCAGCTAAAGCCCTGTTTTATTATTACACACACATGTATATATATATATATATATATATATATATATATTATATAGAGTACAAACACAAGAGCCGTTCAAAATAAAATGATGGTTTAAACATCTCATGCAGGGTGTTCTTGTTCTGTGGTTTCACAAGAGGCTGACCCTGTATCAACAGAACCACGTTGTGTTTCCATTAAGCCCCGCCCCCATATTTAAACATCTAATCCGCTGCCTCTCATTGGCTCAGTCTAATGAATGGAGGAGGCTGTGCAGGTACAGCTCTATCTACCTGTGCAGGTACAGCTGTATCTACCTGTGCAGGTACAGCTCTATCTACCTGTGCAGGTACAGCTGTATCTACCTGTGCAGGTACAGCTCTATCTACCTGTGCAGGTACAGCTCTATCTACCTGTGCAGGTACAGCTGTATCTACCTGTGCAGGTACAGCTGACTGTAAACAAATCATGTGATGTTTGTTGATGATGTGTCACAGTGCTGTTGGTCACACACCAACACACAGCAGGTAGGAGTTACCTGAGTGACTAAAGATAGAAACAGGAAGTGGTTTGAGCCCCGCCCTGAAACAAACTGCCCCTCAGCTGCCTCAGTATTATTATTATTATTGTTGTTATTATTGATTCATTTTCCAACATGAGCAGTTCATAGTTATATTTACAGTATATCAGATGTTCAGGGTTCTTCAGAGACAGAGCCTACTACCTTTACCTGTGTGATGATATTATGAATCTTTCATTAACCAACACGTGTAACTGTTTAATCAGCGCGTCTCTCAGAAATCTATGGGTGGAGAGTCTGGTTTTTAACATGTGAGTTATTAACATGCGAGTTATTAACATGCGAGTTATTAACATGTCTTTCCGAGGAGCTGCAGAATCTTTACTGCTAACAAAGCTAACAAGCTATATTTGGCTGTGATAACTTTACTGACTGACACCATACATGCTAACAGAGCTAACAGATCTAACAAGCTATCTTTAGCTGTGATAACTTAACTGACTGACACCAGACATGCTAACGTGCTAACAGGCTATCTTTAGCTGTGTTAACTTTACTGACTGACACCAGACATGCTAACAAAGCTAACATGCTAGTAGGCCCGCTGAACTCCTCAGAGACCGGAACCTCGGACAGAAACTCGGATCTAAACTGCAGTAAATCACGTTAACAAGCCGCCTCCATGATGTTCCTGGCAGCAGCGAACAGCTAACAGTGATCTGTATATGCAGCCTGTGTGGTCCATTCATTTAGCTTAGCTTAGCTCTGATGCTAGCGGCTCTGAGCTGCGCACTTCGGATCCTCCGGTCTCTCTACCGGACCAGAGGAACCACAGAAACCCGGTCCGATTGCCCGGAATAGACCCTCCTCCCGGTCCTCACTGGTCTCTGGGTCTAACCCTCTAGTCCATGTTTCCGCATGTTTCAGCACGTTTTCTCGGTTTCTTCACCCCCCCCCCTCCCCTCCCCTCCCCTCCCCCGGTTGATTTCCCCGGTGTGTCTCTCTGCAGCTAGCCCTCTCGTTTCCCCGCAGTTTCTCTCTCGTGTCCCCGGTCCTCCCCCCGGTCCTCCCCCCGGTCCTCTCCCCTCTCCCCGGTTAGTCTCCCCTCTCCCCCCGGTCCTCTCTTACCGATCTCTGCAGCTCCCCCAGCCACACGGAGGCCCTCTCTTTCCCCGCCGGGTCCGGGTCGTGGTACAGGGCCTGCACCGCCTGGAACACCAGGGTCAGGTTGGGCTTACCCTCCATGTTCTGTATCTGTCTGTATATATTTATATAAAACAGATGAATGTATTATTATTATTCTCTCAGAACTACACGGTGACGACCGCCATCTCACAGGCTTCCCGCGTGCAACCGCGAACTCGTCCCCACAGGAAACACAGACAGGAACATTAGTTCCGCCCTGTGTTTCCCACCGGAGAGTTAACGCATAGCTTCTCAAAAATAAAGTTAATCTGATATGTTTATGGATTAAAAATGACCAGAGAAAGGGTATTAATGAACATACCCGGCAGGTACAGCTGTAGCTACATGTGCAGGTACAGCTCTATCTACCTGTGCAGGTACAGCTGACTGACGGTCTGCAGTCATTCTCTACATCTGTTTATGGATACAATATTACCAGAGAATGTGTATTAATGAACAAAGGGTGTGACCAGTTCCTTAAGTGCAGAGGGTTAGAAGTACTCAGACCTGGTACTTTAGTAAAGGTAGAAGTACTCAGATATTGTACTTTAATAAAGGTAGAAGTAGGCTACTCAGATATTGTACTTTAGTAAAGGTAGAAGTACTCAGATATTGTACTTTAATAAAGGTAGAAGTACTCAGACCTGGTACTTTAGTATAAGTAGAAATACTCGCATGCTGTGGTTTTATTAAATGTGCCAACTGCTAGGACTGTCTTAGGGAAGATAGCATTTAGATGAGCAGCTCCTCTGTCTTGGAACAGTCTGCAAATGAAATGGAAACTGAGCAATCTGGTGCCACTAAATGTTTTGAAAGCTCGGTTGGATGCTACTCAATCGGAAGCTGTTGGTACCTGTTCATGTGGATAGTTATGTAAACTGTAATCCCTGTAATGATGCTGTATGATGTCCTTTTGTTGTTCTGTTTATGTTTTTATGTTTCATGTGGAACCTACTTGAGCAGAGGCCTGTACTACGAAGCTGGATTTTCGCTTAGCCGGCTAAATTCAGGGAAATCTCGGGCTTTCCGGTCCTACGACGCTGGTTCTCTTTTTAGCAGGCTAGATTTCCATGGTAACTTATGCTGAGCGGCAAACCTGCTCCGGAGCAGGTTAGGTGGCAGGCTAAGAGATCAACTCAGTGAAAGCACCGCCTGCTGACCAATCAGAGCTCCGTGTGCGGAGTTTAAAGATCAAGTCATATTACAGGAGAGAGGAAATACAGAAAAACTGCCGTTGCAGGAAAGACTGCCGTGAAAATTAATAGAATATCCCCTCCCATCTTCAGAGCAATCTGACTATTATAATATTAGCGTTAAGAAAGCTTACTTAAATATCTGCCACGACATAAGTAACCGGATCAGAGTAACATTAAGTACAGTCCGCGGCACTGTGAGTGCAGACGTCGATGTGAGTGCAGACGTCGATGTGTCCCATTATCATTCATATCATATCACATCATATCACATCATAATGTATCATATATTTCCTTATCTGAGTCAGCTTCTTGAGCCGTATCTGGCCGTGCAACACTCACAGTGTCACATACTGTATGCAGAAGTATTATTTTAAGCAACACATTAAGTTGACGAAACACTCGAGTCAAATGTAATTAAAGTCAGATCGTGTCTTAGACGGGGCAGTGATTTCATAAACCTGTTAATGTACGCATTCAAACACTTTCTCTGTTACCAGCTGTATTCACCTTGCAGGTGCAGCTATGTGGCTTTGATCCTGGATAAAGTGTTTAAGTCATGGATGTTTAAAGTTTAACTTCTTCATATTTGACTAATATTAAAGTTCACTTTTCATTCAGGAAGTATGACGCTGCGCTGTCAGTACGCTTGTCCATGTTTGTGATTGGTCGAATGCTCCAGATACCACCCCTTTCATGTGAACGCGCACCTAACTAGATAGGACACGGCTGGCTTGAGCGATCCACTTGATAACCGGCGTCGTAGGACAGTTTAGCGCCAGCGCGTATGTTTTGGCTTAGGCCAACCGGCTAACTCCAACATATCCAGGTTAGGTTGAACCAGCTTCGTAGTACAGGCCTCAGGTCTCCCTTGAAAAAGAGATCAATGATCTCAATGGGATACACCTGGATAAATAAAGGTTTGAAATGAAATGAACTCAGATATTGATATATCGCAGGTCTCCCTTGAAAAAGAAATCGTTGATCTCAATGGGATTTTTCACCTGGTTAAATAAAGGCTACAAACAAACAAACAAACAATTGTACTTTAGTATAAGTAGAAATACTCAGATATTGTACTTTAATAAAGGTAGAAGTACTCAGACCTGGTACTTGAGTACAAATTGAAGTAAGATTCAAGATTCAAGGCTTTTATTGTCATGTGTTCAGCAGCTACAGTGTAGATATGTCGATGAAGATCTGAGGTCACAGGCTCCTCCAGCAGAACAACACAATAACACAGATACAATAGTGCAAGTAAATACAATTAAATAGAATACAATAGAAATAGTGCAGAATAGTCTATATACAAGTAATTGGAATATTGATATATATAAGTTGCAAACAGGTGAATGTTATGGATGTCAGTGGGATGAAGCTGTCCCTGAGTCTGGAGGTTTTAGTCCGGATGCTGCGGTACCGCCTGCCAGACGGCAGCAGACAGAACAGTTTGTGGCTGGGGTGATGGGGGTCTTTTGTAATCCTGAGGGCTTTCTTCCTGAGCCGCTGGGAGTAAAGGTCCTCCATGGATGATCATGTGCTGTGCAGTTTTCACCACCCTCTGTAAAGCCTTACGATTGAGGGCGGTGCAGCTGCCGTACCAGGTAATCAGTATTGTACTTTAAGCCTTACTCAAGTAAAAGTAGAAAAGTATTCTCATCAAAATATAGTTAAAGTAGCGACAGTAAAAGTAGTCATTGTGCAGATTGGTCCATTTCAGAATAATGTATATTTAATTTAATTTCATTTCATTTTTATTTGTCCCGCTCATGGTACGCAAAACCAAATGTACATTTGCCAACAAAACATGTCTCTACAAACCATTGAGCGAAAAGGAGCAGGGAGAAGAAAACAATCTGATAGGCCCCGCCCCTTCCTAGGAAAAACACAATAAATACAAATAGATGGTCTGCCCTTCATAATCATTTTCTTTCACAGCCAAACATAACAGTATCTTAGGATACTAAGAGAAACACAAAAAATACTTATTTCCCACTTGACGGTTAACGGAAAGAAACAAAACAACAACAAAAAACAACAACACCAAAACATCACATGTATAAGGAAAAGTAAAAGTGCAACACCCTCATCTGAGTCCTACTGGAGAAGAAGGTGGAAAGCGGCGCATAATAATAATAATAACAACAATTAATAATAACAATAATAACAATAATAATAACAATGGGACCTGCAAATAAAGAACAGACATCACATCAAAGACATCAAACATATTTAGCAATGCAGGACCAGAGTACATTATTCACATTCTGCTTCATACAGTCCCATCTTTCTTCATTTATACCATTTCTTTAACTGAAAAATACAATTCTTCAGATCCTTCTGTTGAGAATTCCACCATTGTACACCAACCACCGAAATACACATTTGCTTAAGAGTAGTCCTTGCATAAGGATGCTTAAAATGTAATGTCCTTCTGTGGTCTTCCTTGTCTGATCCAAAAACAAACAGCTGTTGTAAATACCCTGGTAACATTCTGCTTGTTGCCCTGAGCATTACTGATGATGTGTCAGCTATCTCTTTGAGTTTCAAGAGTCCTGACTTAAAAACAGTCCGTTGGTGTGTTCTCTTGAATCAGCTTTATGAATTATTCTTACTGCTCTTTTCTGTGATATTGACAATGGCTTTATGTTGCTCATATACGTGTTGCCCCACACTTCTATAGAGTAAATAAAACATGGCAAAATGAGTGAACAGTACAGCATCCTCAATGCAATCCAGCAAATACTTTGCCTTGTTGAGAACAGAAGTATTCCTAGACACTTTGGTTTTAACATGTGCTATGTGTGATTTCCACGTCAGGTGATCATCCAGCGTCACACCTAAACATCGACATTCAGAAATTCAATAGAAACTCCATCAATGGACAGTGAAATGTTTTCATCTTTTTTTCCATTAGCAAAAACCATAAACTTCGTTTTATTCAAATTTAGGATTAACTTATTTTCATCAAACGATCTTTTAAGTTTGACCATTTCATGTCCAATACACTTTGCTAAAATGTTTAAATCATCTCCTGAACAAAATAAATTGGTGTCGTCTGCAAACAACACAAATTGCAATAATGTTGATGTTTCACATGTCATTGATGTACAAAATAAAAAGTTTAGGCCCTAAACCCGAGCCCTGTGGGACACCACATTCTGTTCATACACTACGATGTACTACCAGCTAATTCTACATATTGTTGTCTGTTATCTAAATAACTTTTAACCAATCTAGAACTACTCCTCTCACACCGTATCTATGTCATTTAGAAATCAATAGGTAATGGTCTGTAGTTAGTAAAGTGTGAAAGCAAGGACACTGGTCTGTAGTTAGTAAAGTGTGAAAGGCAAGTAGTAGTAAGGTGAAGCAAGGACACTGGTCTGTAGTTAGTAAAGTGTGAAAGCAAGGACACTGGTCTGTAGTTAGTAAAGTGTGAAAGCAAGGACACTGGTCTGTAGTTAGTAAAGTGTGAAAGCAAGGACACTGATTACAAGTACATTAGATGCGCCGGTGAAGATGGCCGCATCGTCTTTGTGCTCCTCTCCAACTTTGCCCATTTTCGTATTTTGTACATATTTCTTTTACTTTTGCCGTTTTACTTTTAACATGGTTCGCAACATGCTAGCCGACCGCACCTACTCTGCCATACAATATAGCAGAGAGGAACTTTTCCAATTGCGAAACTTCGTGGACAATATTAACCCTCCGACAGACAATGGAGATTCACCATGGCTACCTGTTGCTGTTCTACCTGAGAGACGCAAGAAGAAGACAAAGCGGGGATGCCGGGCCGGGTTGCTGGTCAGACTGAGAAAACGTGAGAATCGGCCCCCTCTTCCGAGTATTCTTCTGGCTAATGTTCAATCCATTGAAAATAAGCTAGATGAACTCAGAAGCCGGATTGCTTTTCAACGGGACATTAAGAACTGTAACGTGTTAATTCTCACTGAGACTTGGCTCAACCCCGCTATCCCGGACTCCGCTATTGTCCCTGACGGATTCTCTATTTTTCG